TCACTGAAATTTACTGGCAACGTTTTTGCGGATCATTGCAAGGAACCCTGTTAGAGGCTTAAAGTTTACTGTTGTGGCCACTGGTGCAAAAATGGTGATGTAGTGCCACTAGTGCCAGTATTCATGAATGGTTGAGCGTTTGACTGGTTAGGTATGAGTCGATAATAGTTATTTATGTATCAAGAGCGTAAACTAGGCTTTTATGGACCATAGCGTGTAAGTAAGATCGGTATATTTGATAGTTTATTGTAAATACCTCTTCACCTCTCAAGAACGATAGAAATACCAGGGTTGCACTGAGGAACATAATTGATGGAATCAACGGTACCATGGTAACTCAGTCAATTTTTCGAAATATATAGTAGTAGACTATTACATTTGCTGTCAATTTATGTCATCACAGATAATTTATTTTGGGTTCGATCATATCATTTTGCTTCTCAGAAGTAGATATCAAAAGAACAGTAATATTAGATAATGAAACATCCAATCTTACACACAGATGTACTGAATGGGCTTATATCACAAAAAAATTGTATCTCATAATTCGATAGAACTCACCCAAACTAGCTCACCACCGCAAACCGTTTCTTGCTGTGAGCTCCCTACGTTTTATAAAAAATTATTGAAATCCCCGATTTTTCGGACCTCTGAAAACGAGGCGATGATGTGACGTCAAAACCCTAATACTGAAACAAGACTATTCCAGACAGAGATGAATGATACATGATTTCTGACAGAGTGAATTAGCGCGAGATCACAGTTGAAAGAATTAATATATCAGTTGCCTCAGTCTCCGTCGGGCGTTTGGTATTTTCTTTTAACTATGGCGAGATGAGGTTTATACGTCATAAGAGGGTCCGTTTTCAGAAGGTATACTATTATTTATGTCCAAAAATAAAACATTCCAGTTAATTTTTCGATGGAATTATGTCGTCAATCATTATTTATGTATTAAAGGATCATTATAAACATGGTTTGAGTTAAAAGTTCTACTAAGGTGTACACGTCCATTATAATGAAATGCGTATCATAAGTTACCAATACCGGCCGGTGAAATCGTCCGCGGGCGGTAAAGTGCCACTTTCCGTCCTCGAAACCTGGTGGTAAAGTGCTACTTCACGCCCGGTCGTGCATAAAATTAATCATCATTATTTCCAAATACTTTGGGAAAATGTATATGAATTCGAACAGGAAGATCTCACAGAGACAGTAGATATTTGCCTGATTATGGAAAAATTGACAATTCCCGATTATGTGTTGTGACGATGTGCTTCAAAGAATGACGAGATTGGAGACGAAAATCCATAGGGCAAAGAGCAGCTAGAGATGGAACAGTTTTGGATGCTTTAAAATTTGTGCCGTCAGCTGGTGCGAAGTTGGGGCACTATACACTTGTGATGTCTTCGAACGAGGTCGTTCAAATAATCAAGATCGAACTTCACTTAGGTAAGTTCGTTCGATCTTGTGAATTCAACAGATAACCATGATATAATCAAGGAATCACGGCATTGATGTCAGAGACGTTTCATGTTTCATGTGTTATTGCTTGAGTGGTTCAGGTCGTACCTCGAGAATAGATCGCAAATGGTGAAAGTTAATGAGACATATTCTAACCTCTCGTCAATACAGTCCGGGGTACCTCAGGGATCGGTTTTAGAAGAAGAACTGATTTTCAATAACTTACCAGAGGAACTGAAGCATATGAGGAATGTTAAAAAGTTCAGAAAATCGGTAAAGGATTTACTGCTCGAAAAAGCTTATTACAGCCTACAAGAGTACTATGATGACAAATTGCTGGTACTATCAGTATGATGTTATTGTTTTCATGTTATCATGTTTTATATATAAATATATATATGTTATGTCTGTCTTTCTTCTACTTTTGATGTTTTATTATTATTCAATCTTATTTTCATACTTATACTTGTTTTTTTTTTATTATTTACGAGATAGTGCATATTATTCATATGTTACTTATGGTGTTAGTGTCGAACTCTTTTTATATTTTTTGATACAATTGCATTCAATGTACATGCAAGGTTTGTTTTTCATTCTATTTCATCAATTATGTATGTTGTGTAATATCATTACTTTGTCAATGAGAATTCTTTCTTGGACATTAAAGTATATATCTATCTATCTATCTATCATGTTCTATGGGAATTCTGTGATAGAATTCATTTGGGTCATGCGTATTATCATTCTCCGAATGAAATAGTTAGTCACCTTTAATTTTATTCTTATTTCCTGTATGAACGGTTCCTTGGAAATGCCCATCATATTGAACTTTCTTATCTTATTCTATTTTTATTCCTTATTTTGGGTTATTTGCTGAATAAAGTCACCATAACTACTCACCATCGGAGAAGTTCCAGTGGAGTTCAAGGTTGCAGTTCATTATCGGTTTTTGCCTATCGGCAGGGTCCTATTAGTCTCTATTCAAACAAGTTCCAATTACTCCACCGCTAGCAGTGCACTGACGTGTTTTCGCATAAAGGGCGTATACAGCATTGTTGTAACCCGGCATACAGGAAACTAGAGAGCGAATTCACATCTTTTCCAGGAACAATTAATTAGTGAATGGCTCATGACGGAATTCGATAGGGTGATTGATTGACATCTAATTTGACGAACCAACCAAATTTGATATAAATCTCTATAGGTGAGTGGACTATTGATTGTCAAACATAGAGGGATATTCTTGTTATCTATGAATATAGATTCTTTGCAATAAAAAACACATATTTCTTTCCTTTGGAGTGCATCAAAGGAATTTCTTTTTATATTCGAGGACCATCATGCGAATCTAGGAAGAGAAGATATACTCGTAATAAGCATTCCTGTATAATACTGGGCATCTTATATAGGTTTCAGTTGTGATATTTCATCATCTGATATCTCTATTGATCTCTTTTGATATTTCTGAGATGCAAAATGATATGTTCGAACCCAAAATATGGTATGAATATACTACTATTTCAAAGAATTGACTGAAAGTATTCCTGGCGTAACTTACAACTCACTTTTATTGACCTATAGGCTATTGCTCGGGCTCTTACTTACACACAAATAATAACTATTTTGACCTGAAATCTCCAGTTCCTGTAAATAGTTGATGCATATCAGGGTGTTTAATTCGTTTGGAACTGTGTTTCCGATTCTCCAGGTTATCTCAATGAAATAGTTTGAATAAATAATTTTTCAGGCCTACCCTAAAAATACCAGAGACTGTTTTTGGACAAAGGCATTCGTTTTGGTTTCTGTAATTATTCAGCATGAAGATAGCAACCAGTATACCTGGCTAAACTCAGGGTTTGTAATTAATGCCTACATTGCCGTGGCTTCTTGATTCTAGGTCGATTCAATAACATTGACCCCTGGTTTATACTGTAGGTACCGAGGTACCTCTTGAACTTGTCTCCACTGTTGTTACCTAGGCCTTCTGATAAACTGAGTTTATAGAAGCAGGTGGAGTAAACCACGTCATTAACAATCAATAGGGTACATGAAACTTTCCACAAACACAAGGTATACTGTAAATACAATTTTTCGACGATTGTTCTTCATTTTTCGCTTTGTTTGAGTTATAATTGGTCTCATTGTAATTTCAATTCTGAACACAGTTTTCACTTGAAATTTATCACCAACACGCTTTTTTTGTTCAGATATGTTGAGAGAGAAAATCCAAAAAAAAAATCTGGAATAATGAATGTACCGCCTCCTCGATTAACCTACAGACAGTATTCCAACTTTTCGTTAATACTGCAGTATTCTGATGTCATCAACCAAGAATCGAACCGTTTTCCTATTTCGTAAATATCATCATGCATTCGAAAGATCACCTAATCTTATACACCAAACTATTCGGTTACGAAAACTTACTACCATAATTTTTCTCTCACCTGGAATTCTAATCTAATATAATAATCTAATATAAATTCAACATTTCACGATGCCCCAGCGTTTTGAATTGAATTGGTTATTCGAGGGGATAATATAACTTCCAACATTTATACGCTACAGCTTCAATAGGATTTCAATTCTGTATGGGCCCGTTTCTCAATTTCTCGATAGAAATAAATCCTCTACTTAATACGGAACATGAAGTAAAAACGTTCAGCGCATCGCTTTGTTCGTTGCTCCCTATCGAAAGATGCCAATATATCTGTTCGCTCAGGATAAGATTTCCTCGTTAAATATTCATGGTTAGAGAAGCGCATGGATTTATTCCAGATGTCTATAAAAAGGCTTCTGCATAAAGCACAACTTGATACTTCATATAATCCGCTATCTTCCGGAATTCCCATTCCTCGCAGAAGTAAAATTTACGCGGCGGAGGTGTGGATCTCATTCAGAACTTCTTTCTGGGCTATAAAATAATCCTCAAAGCGGAGATATATTATGTACTTCAGTTGGAACATAAAGCATATGTTTTTACATGACTGCCTTCCTAAACAACGTCATATTAATACTCGAGCTTCTGCTTATGTGTTAACGCAAGCGTATGTTCTGACCGCTTTTGACGTGGCTAGACGGCTTATCACATTACATTTTCGACGATCTGTCTGAAACCATCTCTTGATAGTTTGCATTATACTAAGTAATTTACATTTCACCTAGAATACACGGCACAGCGCGAAGTACTGCGTATACCTAGCAGATATGCATGACACATACATAGATTTGATGTGCTTCCTGGAGTAAGCAAGTTACGTGATTCAGTTCGTTGAATTGTTACAACCATATACGGTGTGACCCACTTCTTATGGAAACACCCCTGTATCTAACGTAATCGTTGGGTAAGGATCCTGAAATTTGCTGGAGCGAGAGATATACCAAAAATGCACTCTATGACCAAGTGGACATCTTCAGTGATATACACTGATCGCCAACAGCCATGGAACCACTCCAATTTCCGTAAAATGATGGTAGGCCATTCCATCAGCTTCAAATTAAGCTCACAGCCGGGTCTTGAGGCCTCGTCACTTTCGATGGACTCTTCGACGGGTACGTCCGCCACTATGGGTGGATCGTCGTCGTCGTCATCCACCTCCATAGGTGAGTACGCCATCATTGGTGGAGCGTCATGGTTGTCTTGAGGCTCGTTAGGGTTCTCTTGAGTCTCGTCATCGTCATCCTCTTCGATGATGATAAGGGCAGCGTTCTGGCACGTTTCCCCAGAGCAGGTAGCACACATCACAGAACATTTGAGACCCGCTTTTAGGCAAGTGCAGCCACCTCTGCATCCCTTCTTGCATTTGCAAGAAAAAAGTTTCAGGAGCTCTGGTGGGGCAGGGCTTTCCCACTTGTAATGGGGATGAATCCAGCCGAACTCAATTCCCAACCCCAGTCGGCGGCATCTTTCTCCATCCCTATAGCCACTTTTGCACCTGGTGGTATGTGCGATAGTGATGATACGACGCAGCTTCTGTGGTTGCTAGCAAACGCGCCAGATTCGCTTTGGCGTTGGCCGTCGTCTTCACGAAAGTACGGAAGCGTACATCGTTCAGGGTGTTTGTCATCTCGTCTCCTCCATCTGGCTGGAGGAAAACTTTTGCTTGGTCTACTAAGGCTTGATTCTGTTTGAAGTGGCCCCACATTTTCATCTGCCCCTGCCAGAAGAGGGCAGAGGTGGTGTCGCACCCAGTGAATGCATGGACGAACAGCTCAAATCCAGGTGGTACCTCCACTTCCCCTTGGTTGAACGAGTTGCTGGAAAATTGGATACAACCCGTCTCACCTCTGCTACTCTTCTGGAAGTAGACGTTTGATTTAGTGGATCTTAGACCGCAGAGGAGCACGAGTAGATCACCATCCTCTCCAACGATGATGACGTGGTCATTGGATGTACTTTTTTGCAGAGCAGTCACAACGATATCGCGGTCTGCGTCTTCTTCTGCTATTTTTGTCTCAATCCCCTCGAGAGCAAAAGCAGAACAGAATTGGTCAATGAGACGAGCTTTGTTTTTGTCATTCGAGAGCATCTTCTCTTGGGGGTGTGATGATGGTTGATGCGTCAAATAAAATTTCCACTGATGCTGCAGAATACCGTCGTGATCGTTCTGCAAATTTTGTGCTCTTTCGGGCGCCATCATACATTGACTATGAAATTGGTACCTACCTACAATTTATTCAATTTGGAGTTCTGCTTCGACCCAAATCTTTGAAATTGGTGAATGTTCAAAATTCACTATATGCAACAAAACAATGATTTGGTAGCTATCTGGAAAAGTGTGATATTATCTTATATAGGTTTTTTCGAGATTTTGAGAGAACGACAAGGCCTACAGACCCCACTGTGTGCTCAATTTGAAGTTAATGAAATTTTCTACAACTTTTATCACATGAGTTTTACTTGTAGCATCAATAGTTTAGCCACAATTTCGGTCTAAAGTAGGTCCAGAACTGAAAATTTCACTTTCTGAAAAAAATGGGCTATATTCAAAGTACCGTAGTTCCGTTAATAATCAACCTACAGAACTCTGTTTGAATTCAAATTGTTGAACATTCGATTTTCTTCAAAAACATATATTGCATTGTTTGTCGAAAAATGTATAGTTTAGGAGATATAGAGCAAAAACTGAAGAAAGTCCGAAAATTCCGCAGTTTTTCGTGTGCTACACTTTTTCCACAACTTTTTGAGAGTTGCAAACTTGGGTATACACTACCCTAATGGGTCTAAAGAACATACTAAAAACTCAGAGATACATCATGTTTTGCGAATTTAGCGATTTGTTGTGTCGATTTTGACTGGTGTATCAGTCTTGGTCTCGCGAAACCGTACCTCCGATGGTCAGTTCAGCACCCATGACATTTTTAAGAGTAATAAAAATGAAATTACAAAATTATCATCAGCCTGGCACTTCGACATACCAATGGCTGGGTCCTAAGTGAGTGTAGAGGGGGTCGAATTTGCCTACAAAAGTGCATTATTAACGGTGAAATCATCCGGTTAGGTGGATATTCCAATTCGAATCCAATTCAACCTGGGTACAAAATGATATGGAAATGGAATTGTGAAGTTCGGATTATCAATAAATAATCTGCTGGAACATTTGTATTCGACCGTCCGGCGCATCATAGACTCTCACTCGTTGGAGGTTCTTCTGATCTGGCGGGGTGTTTAAACTGGTATTTTGGTCCGGTATCGAACATTTAGCTCTTTGGGGATATGTACAGGATGTTCCAGAATAACGTTCATATACTCCGAAAAATGATTCTGCACATGTTCCTATCAACATGTGTCCGAAGATGCTTCCTAAGAACGCTTGAGCCCTTTGAATGTAGGCCCTTGAATACAGTTTTCTTTAATTATCTTTGTAACCATTGATCCTAGAATTATGAAATTGGGTACCTGAGGGTGGTTCGATCTTACAAATCGTTTCGTGATTCAGAAGAAATGATTCAATATTCAGGGAGGTGCGAAACTCCTATTACCGATTCTATAAAAATGCCCCAAATTTCTGTTTTCAAGATGTATATCATTTGTGCTAACAGACTATGATTCTCAAAACACTTTTACCTGAGAAACGTATTCTTGTTAGAATCCTCATTTTGATGTTCAAAAAAATGCACCTACCGAGTGAAGAAGTTTGTCAAATTTAGTCAGTTCAAATTGCGGATATATTATCAACAAATCACATCACGATTAACTTCAATTGAACGAAACTACTGAAAATGATGAAGTTTCGATGGTCAAGCTCAAATTTGTTTTTATCATAAGAGCACATGACGCTAAAAATCATTGTGAATTCTTTTGGACATCAAATAAAAAATGACACTTTTATCGTAATCGGTTCGTTTTACGGCATTCTAACGAGAATACCTTTTTCATGTAAAAGAGTTTGAAAAATTATATTATGATAATAGGAATGAGTTAAATCTTGAAACAAAAAAAAAATGGGTATTTTTATATGATTGGTCACAAATTTTGAATAGGATTCACCTGGATGATTTTACCGTAAATAGTGCAGTTTTGTAGACAACTTCAACCCCTTCTGGCACTCACTTATAATCCAGCCACTGGTCTAGCGGGTCTTGTACTCATTTAAAATATAATCAATTTTGATATATCGAAGTGCCGGCTGATGATAGTGTTGTTATTTCTTTTTTACCCTCAAAAATCGCATGGGTGTTGAACTGACTAACAGAGGGTTGCCAGACTTTGCTTTCGCTTGTTTCCACGTTGTGTGGAGCCAACTTTGAAAGTTTTATTCTGATGGTGAATAAAGTAAGTGAAACGTTGCTGGCTTCTAGACTAGAATGAATTCGACCATCTTTGCATGATCCGAGGAAAATGGACTTGCGTTGCTCTTCGAGTGCACAAAGAGTCCAATTCGCAAAACTCTTCTCGTCGCTCACCCTATACATTCGTCCGCCCCGCGCTGCCATAATGCTCGAGAGGAAATGAGAACGGCGGCAACAACTTCAACATCGGTGGCGGCGGCGGCCATTCCACCATTTTACCGCCGCCTCTCGACTTCGTTAAGGCCCATTCCGTTTCGAGGTGTAATTCGAGTGCATCCCGATGGAAAGCCATCGTCATCTAGTCGTCTTCTGTCTGAGGGAGAGCAGTTTCGTCCCGCCCTCATTAAATGTTCACGTTCGGTTTCTGCAGAACAAGAAGTGCCAGTCGGATATCTCATTAGTCTCCATTTAAACGAGTCTCAATTAATGACCGGCCACATAGGGTGGTGCACTTGATAGTGGTGCAGGAGGTTTCGCATCAGTGTGCCGTTTCAGATTTTCCATTCGTACTAGAAGTCATTCCGAAATTGTACTGAATGGAAAAAATAACACGACAACGAACCTGTAGTATTCGAAATATGAGTGGGAGTACATAGAACTCTGAAATTTACGATTCACATATTTGATGAAAATCTTTATATTCATTTATGAAAATTTGAAAAAATAATATACAGCACATAAAAATTCTTCTAAAAAACGGAAAACAATAAATTACAGAAAGCCGAAATAGTTCAATCAACGAACCCCAAAGAAGGTCGAATAGAGGAGGAAAATCGTGTAGTCGCAAATATTGGGACAGTCATTGTCGTTCTAGATGACAACCTAGTTAGGTATAGTTAGTAGGCAAGAGCTATAATATTGTATGTCCATTGAACAGAAAAATGGACAAATGTTGCAACTCAGAGACATCTACCTGAACTATGTAAACTAAGTTATCCATTTTTTATTCCTAACCGAAAAATTTTTCATGTTCAAGTTTGTTGATAAAAATCTGTCATGTTGAGACCCGAGGACATTATCACGAAAGATATTATCAAGTATGAAAATCATCTACCTATACTTGAATGGAAGCAGGAAGATGTTTAGGCAATGCTGTATTAGCATGATTTATGATGCAACTTGAATTTAAGTAGGAACTGCGGAAACCTCGGAAATTCATCAGTGCTGTGATGAACATACATTACTGTTTTACACTTTTTTGAAACCATACAAATATTCAATACCAATATGTATACTATTAATTTAGATTATGTCAACATATTGAATTAACTTTATTATTATTTATTATATTATTATAGATATCTGTTCAGATGCCCGTTTCCTCCTCAGATGCTTCTTCATCTTCAGGTCGTGTTCCTTCAGGAAGCAATTCCTCTTCAGCATCATATTCCAAACTACATTGATGAGTCAGAAATTATAAACATATTGATACCAATTTTGTCCTTTCAATGTCCTGTCCCATTCTGAAATGAATTTAATGACTTTTGACTGTGGAACAATTATTGATAAGACGATTGCTAAAGAAAGTTTGTATGGGTACAAACTTGTAGTTGAATATCATTTTATTTATATATACCTGCCTTAAACAAACTTGGAACAGAACCATTCTTCAAAAACCGTTTCCCATTCTTCATTGGCAAGAAATAGTTCCCTTGAAATGTTATGGAAACATACAGTATTATGTTCGCTTACTTCGAAAATCCCCATTCCTGAGATATCAATGCATTAAGTTTCCGATATTATGCGATTCAAGAAGATATTTCACCTTGGTATCCAATGAATATTGCATAATCCCATTGATTCCTCAGAATTCGAGGCGCAAATTCACAACAGTGGGGATTGGGGAAACGATGTTTTGATAATTTTACAACCCCACCTCCTGGAGTGGAAAGTTTTCAGACGACGTTGCAAAATAAAACAATCTCACTCACAATCAATCAACAAACTATAATAGAACAACCAATACTAGAAGAAATAATTAGGTATAATTGTAATTCCCAAGGATTCGAATTCAAAGTTCAATACATCCACAAAGACGAAGTTATAAGTTAATGACAACTGTCAGAAAATAATTTTACAATTACATCTCAATCTCAGATAGCACGTCAATGATGGAGAGTACGTCTGTGGTTGAGTACATATTGCAGAAAAATAGAAGAAGAGGATGTCAACCTGATATTGTCCATTGCGGCATAAACAAATGAGCTCTTTCCACATTTTCTTCCTCAGCGCTATTTGACAGACAGACATTATTTTGATTGACTGAAAAGACAATATTGTACTTCCTCGCGTACTAGGTCGCCTACTAGGTTTTCATTTAGATCGACAATGGTACAGTGGTAGAAGAAAGTGTCATGAACAACATACTAAAAGTCCTGACTCGAAGGGGATGAGTAGAGGAACGTTTAAAGGTACATTTTTCAACTTGTTCTTGAATAATTTGAAAATTGCGGCCTCTAGCGAAAAAATTGGTAAACAAAATTTAACAAAATTTCCAATGAAAAATGCTCTATTCATTTTTTGTCTACAATGAATAGTTTCTGAAATACAGGGGATGACATTATAATTGGGGGACGATGAATCGCTCATCCCAGTGACAACCAAAGATCCAACAGCACCTCAAGCTAGCAACAGACTTTGTCTACACAGATAAAAAGGATTACTTGATGCAATACGAAACAGCATTGTTTCAACCATATGGTGCTCTTGAATAGGTCCAACCAAATATTTGTTGGAATTTTCTTCAGAACTTTCATGACTTATTCATGAAAGAAAATCTTGATTCGAATGGATATTTCTTCATTATCACAGAATGTATTGGTCGAGGAAAGAATTAATCAGTTTGAAACTAGAAAATTCTTCTATTGAAAAAATGTTTGCGGTTATCTTCGTGAATGTTATTTGGTCAGTGGATTAACGATATAAAATTGAATTTTTCGATAATATTCTCTCTTGGAGTGTACTTGTCGATTTTTATTTTATAACCTCACCACTCTTCATCTACGAAACGGCGGAATTTCGGGGTTATTTTGAATTCAGGAATATGTGCTGAGATGTTGTACAGATCTTTCAGGGTCACCCTGTATAACATGTTCATTCAAACTTTCGTTCTTATTTTGACCCAAAAATTACGACCTCGAAGTTTTGTGCGATATTAATGAATCACCTTGTATCGTTGTTAATTATAATGACGTATACTAAATGTGCATGAAATTTACTAAAAAATACAATCGAACTAATGTAAACATTCATATCAGGCTAGCCCAGATTAAAATAATTTGGAAGTTTGTGATGGGAAGTTTAACGGAAGTTGGAAATTGGTTGTCCACCATGCTTCTTTGCGAAAATGAAATAGTTTTACTGAAGATTCGGGTGTATTAAACTGAAACGTGGTGACTGTTCATTCTTATGTCTATATTTTCATTTCTTGACATTGTTTTTTTCTCACCCTACATCACTGCTGCCACTTCTGTTTGAGTTACTGATAAGACATTGAATTTATCATCAGGAAAAAATACGAGATAATAGTTGAGTCACAGTGGATTGAATTTTTTACATATAATAGGTATCTTATCTGACATTCCAACACTCAGGAGATATATTTCCATGCTTAATTTTTCAATATCCCTAATGATCACAACATTTTTAGCAATCTATGTCATGTTTTGCTGGCTATCGTTTTTTTTTTACTCAAAATTGCAAATTATTCTACAAAAGTACACAATGGTAGAAATTGACAGATATATCATCTTGTTGATATTTTTCGACAAGTATTTGTTGACTATGCGCTTTATTCTCAAATTTCACCACAAATTGTTACTGTATTCATGTATCTCTATATAGGGATTTAAACTTTTGGCCGCCTGGGTGCGCCATATAGTGTCGGTGGTGTTATCCTATCAGAATAATTGTAAGACACTGTAAAACATAATTGTTCCCTCATAATGAGTTTTTTCTGATGAAGAAACCAGTGTCAAATCAATTATCGGAAAAAATTCATGAAGTTTTTGCGGCATTTGCATATAAAAATTACACCTTCCCTATCCACTAATATTCATCGCTAAATATTCATGAGTCAAAAGGTGAGAAAGTTACGAGTATATTGTTCAAAATGAAGCAACACTTGTTTAAAACTAATTATGTTCGTTGCCTGCAGCTCTTCTCAACTGCAATTGAAGTTTGATGTGGACCAGATATTCGGAATATAAATGGAGAGCCCTCCAGAACGCTCACAATGTAAATGAGTTGGAAACGTTTATTATCTGAATTGTCTCAGGGTGCATCACAGACTCCGGTGAGACCTGTGCGCAGTTATTCGCTGTGATAGCACATGGAAACTGAGTGAAATCTATTTGTTTTTATTGATCAATTCGCTCCGACCTCTCGAGCGAATTGGTTGTTAACATATATACAACATAGTCTCATGTCTGTCTCATGATGATTCCTTCTCCTTCTGAAAAGCGATACAGTGCAACCAGCTTCAGTATAGGGGTTCACAATGCTGAAATGTTATTGTTCCATCATTCTGCCTATCTTGTTCGATTCAGGCATAACAAGATATATCTCGTTACAAGGACACTTTGTATCAAAAGCGGTGATATCTAGTCATTTTGTTATTATCTGTATTCATGACAATATAATTATTTGACCTATCTCGAATAGATTGCTCCTTATATCCTTCGTTATTCAGATGATATCCTATTCATCAATAGTAGTTGACGACTCAAATTGAACACTATACAGGGTGACATAGAAAAAAGTACATTGCATATAGTGCCACACAATAGAAGACACTAAAATAAGGAAAAAAGTTCATATGAACATGGATCCGCAAGGTCTTTTGTTAAAAGAAACGGGGTGTTGAATTTTAATGAAAAAATGTATTGAAGTACAAGGGCAACAATTTGAACATCTTCTAAAAACTTAATGTTTTGTTCTAATTGATCATATTTTTCATCATACCATTAAAATGTAATTGTTTATCATTGTTTTTGCAAAAGTTACTTTGGCGCTTTTTGAATAGATTGCGTGTATTGTCGGCTTTTAGATGCGTTTGTACTGGAACCATTGCTTCTAGCGACTTGGACAAGGTATAAAGAAGGGATAACAAATGTTTTCCGTCGAAAATGACATACAGTGTATAGCAAAAAAGTTACGACCGCTTCAATAGGGATGGAACTCTCTATCAGTCATCACAAAACTAAGA